TTGGTGGCATGCCAAGGTGAAATGAAAGTGATTTAGTGAAAGTGTAGCTTTAAGATTTATATAGTGATTAGATCTTACCGGGAGAACAATTGTGCAATAGCAAGTATAGAACAGAAGAACACAGTGGGTGAAATAACTAGGTTCTAGCTCTGGTGCGGTCAGGTAGCAGTTAGGCTACGTTGGAAAAACCATCTAGCCTCAGCTTATTCTTCTACAAAATAGATGTAGTACTCCTGAGAAGCCTGGACTTACACACAGTAAAAGAATAAACATGTTATTGATTTATACCCAGTTATGTCCCTGTCCAAACAGTATGTGTGTTACTCTGTTATGTTTTTCTACAAGGTTTACACACACTCTCTCTCTCTCTCTCTCTTTCAATTTTTATGTATCTAGTACAGATCTACAGGGTCTGCAAGGTGTCACTACCCAGCTCGGACTCGTAGTGCTTTTCCTATCTCAGCCTCCCAAGCGCTGGGATTACAGGCATGCGCCACCACCACGCCTAATCTCAATTGCCATCTCAGCGCACGCACACGGGGGAGCGCACCCTGCGCTCTGCCTAAGCAGGCGCTTTAGTCTGCTGAGCTATCTGGCCGGCCCAGGCTTATCTTACCTTTTTATTTTAATTTTTTAAGTATTTGGTACAGGGTCTCACTACGCAGCTCGGACTCGTAATGATCCTCCTATTTTCAGCCTCCCAAGTGCTGGGATTACAGGTGTGCACCACCATGCTAGGTCTTGGTGGCCGCGGGCATGTGGTGCTGGGAATCGAACCCGCCCGCTCCCTGTGGTTAGCCTAAGCAGGCGCTTAGTCCACTGATCTAGCTCTCCGTCCCCCACAAGGTTTAGCCTCAACAGGACAGCATACATATTTGTTGGGTGAATAAACAAATATATTAAAAGCAATCTTTCAACTTTTTACGGCCTAGGTTGTGTGTGCATATTTTAATTAAAGCTGAATTTTTTTCTCATATTTAAAAAATGTTTTATTTTATTTATTATATTCTCTTTTTTTAAAAAATGCTTTAAATTGGTAGTCTTTCACAAGTGAGCGGCAGCGTCCGGGACTCCGACCGGAACACCCTCGCGGGCTCAGAACGTTCTCGTCGTCGCAGCGGAGTCTACCTGGCCCGCGGCGGCCCGGAAGAGCGCGCGGCCGCGGCACTGCAGC